CCCCCCCCCCCCCCCCCTCCCCAGCAAGCCGTCCTGGATCTGCCCATGCGGGAGCCTGGAAATATATATATATGAAATGCTCTTACACATTGGGGACTGCTATACCGGATCCTTTGATTCTCGGCTGCGCATCTCAAGTTACTACCCAAATTCGTTCGATGTGTACCCCAGTTGTAACGGAAAAAGCAAAACGCATTGTTTTTTGATATCTTTTCAGATGCCAAACTTCATCAGCTATCAAACTTCATCAGCTGTCAGCTTCGAAAACATTCCGACTTCGTTTTATTCCCCTAAACTAACAATTATGTGGTGCTCCAGGCCTAGTATTTACAAGACAAACCGCATCGTAGGAATTCATAAAAAGAATAAGTCCCTCTGTTGAACACGCAGCTAACGTCCATTTTTCATCATCACGTATCTGTGAGGCTGCTAAGAATTGAACACCAACTGGAAAGATTTCACGTTCGGTCACTGTTGCACCTAAAAGCGAAAAAAAAAATCACCAGAAATATGACCAATACAAAAATTTAAATGAAACGATAATTAAAATACAATATACTCTTTTTCTTTCTTTCATCACATTACTTCCTCTTTAACTACTACTAACTTTCAAATATTGTCCAAGTCACTCACGCATGCATTAGCTGTTAACATTCTTGAACTAGGCCCTCAGATCCCACCACTTCCAGCCACTTTTATCATTAATCGTTCCGTACTTCACACTAGCCCCTTTGTTCCTCTCCTCTATCTTGCCTTAATCCGTGTCTCCGGAGTTGCATCTGGCTACCCATCCACCATCCACTTTATAATTCAAGCTCATCCATGTGAGCAAGTGTAAAGGTTACTTCTTAAGCTTACTCTTCGGTATCGCCCCATCCAGCCCATATAATGAGACTTTTTGGTCCCCTTTTCTCGACAATACAGCTAAATAAAGAGTCCTCCAAAATCACCCATCCAGATTAGTATGATTTCAAGGCTTCCTTCACATCCTGATTTAAAAAGCTGAAGGCAGTTTGTCCCTTTGGCAGATTATGGAATTAGTACCAATTTACCATCGAAATGAACTAACGAATCGTAGAAATACGGGGCATCACAGCATCGGATTTGAAATGGCTCGATTTTAGGGGTAACTGCTGTTTGCCACTATGCCAAAAACAGCACCAAAATGAGCAGCCTCTCACTGTGAACATCAAAAAATAGCAAAAAAAAATGAATTATTTCAGAATAAAAGGCAAGCAAACCTTGTTCACTAAGCACATAAATAGTTCCGGTACTGAAACCGAGAATAATTTCATGCGAATCCGGTGCCCACACGCCACAGTTGACAGTGAAATCAGCCGAGAACGAGGTCGACCAAATCCTCTGGCCCGTTGATGAACCAATCAGAACAAAATTATCTTCATAACAGATTAACGCCGATAAACCATTGGGGCTCCAGTTCACATTGCGAACCTGTAGTAGTACTTAGAATGTAACAACAAAAAAAGTCTAGTTTTTCAAACCTTAAGTGACTAATCAAACGCCAAAATCCTTCTTTTTGTTTACTTTGTGAGGTGTGGAGGTGCTCAGAAGTAGCTCAAAAGGCTGAAATTTTCAGGGGACGACTAGCTGGAAGGGTGAAATTTTGACAGGAAAATCGTTAACTCGGAAACCAAAAACGCTGGGAGGCTGAAATTTTTAGGGGGCCAACAGCAACCACACGACGGAACGCTTTCAGTGACTTTTTCCGAGAGATGGTTACATGCAAACCGATAAGTTTTGAATTTTTGGGAAGTTTCAGTACCAATTAACCAATAAATGGATGAACGGGTCGCAAAAGTACCGGTTTTCCCAGTTTCGGAATCGAGCTTTTGATCTTAAACGCGACAGTAGAGTTGCTTATCACTGTTACATTACTGATAAACCCAGAAAAAAACCAGCATCGATTTCAGAATTGAATTGGATCAGCACCAAAGTGGATGAAAATCGAATAGAATCAAAACTGAACTATTTTTTGATCAAAAAAAACATAGAACCACCCAACAAAATTGCCACAGCAAAAAACTTTGTTTAGGATTTTTGCTAACCTTGACGCCGCGGTCGTTCACCAACTCAACGCTCCATCGTTCCTCGTTCGGAACCCAGACATAGATAATTCCGGAATTATCACAGCTCGCTAATTTTATCTGATTCGCATTCCATGAGACCAGACTTACGGCGGTATGATGGCCACGCAGATTGAAGTTTATCCGCCTGTTATCATCCTTCAGCGGAGTAGCTACAGTTGCCGTTACCCCAACTGCACCTGATTCGGATCCTGAAAATAAGCCACTGAAAAAGAAGACGCTTTAAAAAAAATATGTCTAAAATAAGGTCGAAAGAAAAAAAAACCATTTTTTCGGAAGGAACCTAATCTAAGGTACCCCAGCGTGATCCAAAAATGGCGAAGTTCGGACGGAGGTAGCGATGCTCAACAAACACCAAAGGCAAAAACCTTCCCAAATTCTCTTGTCGAGTGAATTTCTGAGCTACTAATCTCTTCAGGAGACAAAAAAAGGCATCGAGGGGTCACCACTGCGCTGACCATTGGTCACAGCAACTAACGAAATCGGAAAATCGTAAAACTATATAGCTGGAGGGGGCAGAATATGACCCGAAAAACAAACTGTGTCTGTTAGAAGGCCGAATCGTAAACCAAAAACAAGTGGATGGTCCAAAGAAAACAAAATGTGGAAAAGCCGGAGTAAGAAAGTTTAAACGAAGGGTGGGATAAGTTTGCTAAAATAATTTGCGGCCCTTGCCGGGCCGCATTTTGTTCCAGGCATTTCAGATATTAACAGCACAGCGTAACAGCTTTACCATGCTTTTCCTGTTTAGTGCTTAAAAAAAGATGATAATTTTATGATAAATGATAATTTTCGTGAAAAAAGGGGACGCACCGGTGGCCAGTAGGCCGCACCTTATGTGGCCTTTTGCTACCGAGCCATAGGGGATCCAGCCGAGACATGTGACCGTCGAATCAACGTAGGAACCGGGCCAATCGTCGCTTTCCCAGAGGATCTTCATGCACCGCACGCTCTCGCACTGCAAAATCGATTCTGCTCGTCGACAAAATGACTAATAATCGCCTTACTGCAACAACAATAAAAACACCACAACTACACTGCAGAAATGAGAAACCGCGCAACTCAACCGACTAACGCAACAATGAATGGCACAGGCCCCCAGTGGTCCATTTATAAGTGGACAAGCACGGATTTGCAAATTTACTTTCAAATCCTTACTTCCTTCATAAACATACATCATCTAAAATTAAAATTACATTAGATATTATGACATATATATAAAGAACGGAAATTGGCAGTATCTCAAAGAGCAATGAAGCGACGAATGGTTGGCACCACCAACAGACTGCAGCAACAGCACATCCCAAATGAAGTGCTCCGAGCCAGATCTGGCGTGAAAGATATTATCGAATAGCAATATATAAGCCAGCAAGAAGAGGTGGGCTGGTCATTTGGCATGGATGACAGACAACAGATGGACGAAACGGATAAGAGAATGGAGAGGTCATTGGTTAAGCGAAAGACAGTACGGGCCATAGAGAGACCCCAACCCACACATCATATGTACTACATTTTATTAATTATGAATGTTTGGCTTAATTCCATAGTGTTTTATTGAAGTCCCTGTGCAATATCCCATTCAGCTAACTACTACCATAACTTTCCGCGATCATTCTACTTCTCCATGTACTCCTTGAACAAATGGGGAAGTCACCACCAGCGAGGTGAAGAGATCCCAAGGCACGCTTGTACGGTACTACTTGGACTTGGAGAGCGCAACAACGAATGGAATGGAAAAGTTGCCAGTGCTGCATCAATGGTGTGACAACGGCGGTCGATGACACATACAGCTGCTGCTCAAGCATTCAAGTATGCATAAAAATATAAAATTGTATTAAAAAAAAAAACACGTTTTGCTGTCACTGATAAATGCGGGAAAATATGGCGCACTCAAGAAAAGTGGTACCAAAAGTCACGGGGGAGATGCGGACAGCAAACGTGACGCTTCCCCGGGGGCATTTTAATCAGGAACAGTAGACGAGAAGCCCAATCGAGCACTTATAAAACGATAACAACAAACATGAAAAGCTCTCCACTTCCGCTTCATTACCAAAATGCGGGAAAATGTGGGGCACCCCGAATAAGAAGTGCCGGAAGTAGCGGGAAACATACTCTCAGGAACAGTGAATGACAACTCCTACTGTGCCCACGTGCAAAGCTCTCCTCCCCTTCCGCTCCATCACGGCTAAATGCGGGAAAATGTGGCGCACCCAGGATAAGTAGTGAAATAGAAGTCAGAGGGGAACGGCGAACATCACACGTGACACTTTCTGCAACATCAAATCGTGAACGTGCAAGCTTCTCGCTGCTACTACTAGAAAGTGCGGGAGTTCAGTGTTAGTTTGACCGTGCGCGCAGGTACCATTGCATTATCCGCTTCGTCCATCTGTTATCTCTCATTCGTGCCACATGACCAGCCTAGCTCTTCTTACTGGCGGATGTATTGCTTCGGAAATGTCTTCCACGCCGTATCTGGCTCGGAGCACTTCAACATTTGCAATGTGCTGCAGGGCATGTTGGCGCCAACCATCGGGCCGGCAATCCCTTCGGAGGACGAAGAATGCCAGCAGAGCCAGAAAGTTGGGCGCCAGGCGATGCAGCCTTGATCAAAGCAACTATGGAAGAAAAGTAGTTCAAAATCGGGAGAATTGAAGAAGAAAATATAAAAATGATTAAAAATCGTGATTTGCTTTGTCGAACAAAAATCCTGTGTAGTTACAAGCTCCCGTTTAATGCCCAGAGCTTATACGTGAGTCATCTCGCCTAAAACGCTTGATTATTTCGAATTTTCGCTGCTAAAATGCGCGAAAATGCGCGAAATCTACATGCAATCGCAACAAAAACCTCCATTTGCGACGCAGAGAGAGAGAGAATTACGGGCAGAATGCGGTAAAACGTTGTGCTGTTGAAGCAGC